CGTTCAACCTCTCTCGAAGTTCTAATTAGAAATTTTATAGATTTGAACATGAAAATTAAATAGATCACGAGCATGCAACATATTCAATATGTTATATCCTACAATAACTCAAACTTCCGTCTCCAAGTACCCAAAAGTCTATAGCTCAATATATATACTAATGATATACTAAACCTAATATTAAATATTGTCTCTTTACATTTTCGTTATAAATATATATTATGTTGAACTTCTCTTGAAATTCTAATCATTTTTTTTTATAGAATTGGACATAAAATTTAAATAGATCACGAGCATGCAACATCTTAAATTTAGCGTTAAATATTGTCTTTATTATATTTTTGTTATATTAGTATATTACGTTTAACCTCTCTCGAAATCAATACTATAATAACACAAATGCCTCTCCATAGAAAGATACATAAGCATTTTTAAGTATTGTAGAGTTGCCACATGTACAAAAAAAATAATGTGAGTAACCAATTAAAACATTTCATTTATACATATCAGATTTAGTAATATTTCATTATAGTAATATTTGACCCAAAAAAATAAAATAATTATTTACACAATAAAAATCAAGTTTATCATTTAAAAACTTACGACTATCATATTTACACAATAAAATATTTAATGGGAAATTTTGACCATTCCATGTAACTTGAATTATTAGACTTTCAAGACATAATTAATTTAAACAAAGTCTAAATTCAAAGTAGTCATATATTTAAGATGTATCTATAAATACTCACCCAAATGATTCTCTTGCTATTCTATTCACAAATTCCAATTTGAAAAAAAAAGTTACCTACAATGTTTATGTGGGATAAAAACTCACGATTTGGTCAAAACAACAAAGAGGAAAGAGCATCGACATGATAGCAAATATCCATCCATCAGCAACTGAAATATATTATCTACCAAAGATGATAAATCACGTCAAAAGTTGCAAAAGCTATAAAGAAATATGAACAGTTGGAGACGTTACATTTACATACAAAACTTAGACCACCTCCATCGGGGTATGTTAGAGGGTATGTAAAAAATAAAAAATTGAAAAAAAATAGAGAAAGGAAGAGACACACTTAACACGGTCTCTTATTTAAGGAATTCTAGAGACAGTCTAAAAGACTTTTGTGTCAACGTGTAGAGTTTTAACTGATTCACATTTTTACT